TTATATGTGCGTGCCACTCCTCCAGAAGCACACATGGTCCAGACCAAATTACCTGTGTCACATCCCAAAGTAATCTCTCTCTTGCTAGTACATTCATTGATAACCATTCTAATCATTTGTCACTTAATGCAGCCATTGAGTTGACAAAAAAATAAACTGATCCAACAAAGTAATTCACATTTAAAGGCACCAAAACTATTTACTGCATGTACCTAAATAATTGCATCATGTACCAAATCAGCAACCTGTGCATTTCCCACACACTTTCCAAGTGCTGATTCGGTCTCAATTTTGTGCTGTTACTTTGCAGTTAAAAAAAACCTGAATTTTAAAGCCAATCGGTCCTGACTCCTTTGTCTTCAAGGTATAAGGGACATCTGTGCTTTTAGGGTAGGGTTTTCAAAAGTATTGGCTTAATTCTGCCTCCATTGAAGGCAATGGGAGGTTTAGGGGTTTCATAAATAAAGTTCAATGTTAATGAATCTTTGCAACACTAACTTTGTGAGCTGAAGTAGTAAGATTCCTTTCTCTCCCCCCCACCCCAGCCCGAGAACCCAACACTCCTGAGCCATAATCCAGCCACTGAACCACAAGACCATCCGTCCTTATTCAGCCTTGTGGCTGAAACATATTTGACAGCCTTCTCCATAGGCCCCAAAACACAACGGGGCAGAACCTCTGCCGGTGTGAATGGTCAATGCTATGTAACAGGCACTCTTCAGAATCCTGCAGAAAAACATCATTGCGGTGAAGCTCAGGTTGCAGACACTTATCCATGTTTCGAGTGCACGTTACCTTTCAAAAACATTAGAGTTTAAAAATACTTATACACACTAGAAATCCAGGAATGCAGTTAAGGTTGCACTTCTCAAACAAAGCACCCAAACTACATTAACTTTGTACCCTTAGAGATGCCAGATTACTACCTTTCCTGATAGCTATGCATAGATAAGGGAATGGGAGTATTTCATGTTCTCAAGGTGCCTCTATAAGTTCTAATAATTACATATACATTAGCACACAACCAGTGGAAAACTCTTCGATTTTACAGTGTCACAGGAGCAGGTAAGTAGCTGAGGATCACCTAAATGGAGAATGAGCATTCTAATAGAAAGGACTTTTTTAGCTTCACATGTTAAGTATAATACAGCAGGATGGCCTAGCGACTAGAGCATTGGACTGTGACGCAGAAGATGTGAGTTCTATTCCCAGCTCTGCCACTGGCCTGCTGGGTGACCTTGGACAAGTCATTTCACCTTGCTGTGCCTCAGTTTCCCCAGCTGTAAAATGTGGATAAGGATTTCTACCCTCCTTTGTAAAGGAGCATTTGAGTGTTGAATAGCACCATAATGGAGCCAGTTTTTCTTAGTATTAAACCACAACTGCTGTTTTGGGTTTTTCCAATAATAATTCCCAATAGTAAAGACTCCTCCCTATAAAAAGTAACACTGAAAAAATATACTGGCCCTGCTTCCAGTCCCATTGACCTCAGTGGGAACACCCATTGTTAATGGAGTTTGCATTTCATCCTTTCTAAAAGCTGATATAATGGTATTTACTCATCCAAGGTTATTAATCCCATATAATGCAGAATATTTGTTACATATGAATAGGCCAATAAACACTTGCAAAGGAAAAAAGTGAGCAGTTATTTGTGTGAGCCTTTTGGCTGAACATCCTAAGGAGACTTCCAATTAGTTGAAGACTAATTATTTTTAATAGAGATAAGCTATCTGCATTGTCCTGTGATGTAACAGGCAGGGTCACACCTGTTATGTCTTCCATAGGCATTAGTTATACTCTGTATGTTATAGTGATAATGGGGTGTCTTGTGCCCATCAGGAAACAAGGATTTCATTAACATCTTGTCCCTTGTTATATTAAATGGCTAAGTGTGGTCCAAAAATTTCAAGTTAAGTTAAGGCTGGTTTTCTTCTGTTATAACCACCACCATTAACATCTTTTTAACCTTTTATTAAAGATACAGAAAAAGGAAAAACAGTTTCAGCATTAGAAATACAAAATGTTAAGAGTAAGGTTTTCATTTTAGCCATTTCCCTTATTCTCTTCCCTTTAGCTGCACAGAGTTGTTTATTGGGAATGCCCCTCTTTGTCTGTCTTTTAGACGTAGTAACTGGCCTTTTTTGGAGAAAAGGTTAGTTTAGATGATCTGGTGCCATCATTGAAGTCTGATCCTGGTTTGTTTGTTTGTTTTTTTAAGACGAAACATGACAAACACACACTGAAAAGAGAACAGCAAAGATAGAAAAGCAGCTTTGGTCTCTGGTGTGTTTTTCAGACTCCTGAGCAGTGAAGGTAAGCCAACCGAATTTTCTAGCATAGACCAGGCCTAAGAGAGACCACCACCCAACAAAACTGGTTTCTGACTACCCAACAGTAATGGCTGGCCTTTGTAGAGATGTCTAGCACGTAACCCAGCCACTCAGACTGTGCACTAGGTTTTGTGGTTTGCCCCTGGGGGCACCAATAGGACACAGCTTTGATTCACCTGCCCGGCAGGAATGCACGTCATTGGTCATCTGAATAACTGAGTGGAGGAGCAGTGATTCACTATTTTGAGATATGATATAAATCCCCTTGAATTTCATCCTCGCAAAGAGAATCTGACGAAGGTTGAAACTGATCTAAAGATTGTTGCCTACTGCTGTTAGTACATTTGTCTGAGTCAATAAACATGAGTGTCAGTTACCCGGGGTTGCAAATTTGCTGGAGTGCAATCCAGTTTTGAAGTTTTCCCACATCTCTCATTAGCCCGCCGGAGGCTGAAACGTGGAGGCTGAAACATACCCTGATGGCAGATGTGTGAAGACGAGTGTAGAAATTAAAATCTCAATTAGCAGATTAAATACTGCTTATCCCAGGGGTGATCCAAAGCACACTGAAGTCAATAGGAGTCTTTCTACAGAGTGCAGTGGAAAATCGATCGGGCTCCCAGTAAGAGCTGGTCAAAAAAACACTGTCAAAAATATTTTCCATCTTTGGATGGAAAACTTCGGGGGTTTTTTGTTATTAAATGGAAATTTTCAAGAAATTCCGTGTTCACAAAAAGTGTTACTTAAAAACTAATTTATTTTCTCTTTTCAAAGAAAAAAGTCTATGGAAATGAACAATTTTTCATTTCTGGTTTTTTTTTGGGGGGGGGCAAGGGGGAGGGTTTCTTGCTGGAAAAAAAATTATTTCCCAACCAGCTCCACTCCTAGTAAAGACTTTCAACCCGTTAAAGAGTGACTCTGTCTTTTTCCTACCTTGAAAATGCTGCTACGTTATCTGCTAATGTCTGTTGATTGTCTGCTCCTGACCGGTAATAGTCGTACACTGCTTTTGGAAGAACTCTCTTGGCATATTGTTCAAAATCACCCACACAAACTGGTTTTCCAGACATTTTGCGGACCCCACAGGATAAGTCTCTTCTTACATTCCACTCTTTTTAAGGTCTATTTTTCGGCCTGTAAATAATTAATGTGTGACTTTTCCAAAGTTCAAGTATCTGAATCATTTGAATTGATTTTTTAAAATGTGCAAACAATCCTGGCACATCTGGACATTCTCTTTGGACTTTGCCATTCTGTTCTGATTCACAATTTGAGGGACGTGCCCAGTGTGTTCAGGGCAGATCCAGACTGCAAAAGGTCTACAACATGGGGAAAAGGAAAAGCAAGAAATAAAAAATGAATAAATAAGCAAAATAAACATATTGGCACTTTACGGATGCATGAATTAAAATGCTTAACCAAGGCTGGTCCCTCGGGTCAGGGACTCTGTGTGTGTATGCGCGTGCGTCTTGTTCAGTGCTCTAGACCTTGTCAGTGCTAAAGACTAAAAAATTCTGATCTAGGCAGTTTGCAAAACCAGCTCCAAATCCAGGTTCAAACACCCACAAACGTAGAGGATTCTCAGATGTCTACAGGTAAGGCCCCTACTCAGGAGATCTGGCCTCAATGCCCAGTTCTACCACAGGTTTCAGAGTAGCAGCCATGTTAGTCTGCATTTTCCACTGAATGTATCCGATGAAGTGAGCTGTAGCTCACGAAAGCTTATGCTCAAATAAATTGGTTAGTCTCTAAGGTGCCACAAGTCCTCCTTTTCTTATTAGTTCTACCACAGACTCCCTGCCCCTGGGTAAGTGACTTTCTCCCTGTGGCTCAGTTCCCCCTTTGTAAAATGGGATAATAATCCTTCCTCTCTCCCACCCTGTCTTGTCCACTCGGACAGGAAGAGACAATACGTGCCCCAAAGTACTTACTGTGTGTCTGTACAGCACCAAGCACTGTAGAGTCCACTTCTGTAACATAAATATATCCCACCTCTACTGATCACCCGTAACACGTAAAACTGGCCCCTCACTACTTCATTGACCAACACCTAGATCAATGGTGCTGTGCTTCCTTTTTTCCCCTGCAGCGGGGGCTGTGAGCAGCGGAAGCCTCTGCCCATTCCACCACTGCAGACACAAGCTCAGCGGGTGGGGGCCAGTCCTGTGAGAACCCCAGTGGGAAGAAGGCTGAATGCCCCAGCAAAAGGAGAGGTTGTTGAGGGGGTCAGAACAGTGAGTGGAGGGTTGCTGGGGGGGGGGTTGGGGGGGAGGGGGTGATCTTGGTTCTCTCACTAGCTCTCCTCCCCCACCCATCAACTCCTGGTGGTCTCTTCCCTCCCCCCATGCCCAAACTCCATGCTCACCCACATTATTAAGACCTCACCAACCCCAGTTCGTTTGCCGGCCCGGCCCTTATCCTTAAATCTCTCTCCATACTGGGAGGAGCAGTGCATGATAGGACTAGTGGTTTCTATGGGTTGCAGTCTCAAAATAAAGATTAGGCAGGATTCTACTTTTGGCTTTTATGCATTTTAACAGATAACATTTGCATTTATTTTCAAACGACACCTAAAGACATTGTCTACAAGTAATGATTTGCAAAGTCTTGTTGAAACTGTGCAATCAACTGAGATTTATGCCTTAGCTGGAAATAAAATGAACTCACCTAATAGCTGTTATTTATCCAAAACGTAATAACTGTAAAACAAGTCAAGATTTAGAAATTAAATCATAGTACTTTGACTATATAACATTAATTTCTTCTTACCAGCTTGCTAAAGAGAATTGTAACTCACAAGCACAATGTATCTTAACGTTTTCAAATTTCTTGCTCTGTGGGTGTCGGTTATTAATGATGAAGATGTTTTCCATTGCTGTTTGGGGTAGAGGGAGAAATCTAGAATTGAATTAAAATCTTATCCTTCCAAGTCATAGGATGAGGTACAGTAGAACTTTGAAGGTTACCTACAAGCTTGGTAGGTCATATTTGGGTCACCATAGGTCAACATAGGGCCTGATTTCTCACCGCATGACTGCACTATTGAAGTGACACCCGCTTCAACTGGAGTAACGTGCTGATGAACCAGGCTCTAGTATCTACTTGTGATGTGCTATCCAATCAGGAATTGCACGTAATCAAAAAACAAAGCCAGCCACCCAGTCCCCTGGCCATTTGCATTGTAGAGTGGCTTTATGTTTCTTTAATGAGGCTTCAAAGTAAATAAACAAACAAACAAAACTGAATCACAATACTTCCTAGTACACTGTAATGTGATACAGACTGTTTTTTAAACCAGTGCCTTTGTCTTGTTTTAAAGGTACATCTTTTTTTATGGATACACTGTCCAGAGTATAACATCCAACGATGAGTGAGAAAAACAATTCAGCAGGGATTTTCTAACATCTTTTAAGAAACACCTTAGGGATCAGAACAGGATGGGTAGTGCTGACCATACGGTCAGTCTTGGGAAACATTTAAAGAAAGCTTCAGCACTTAGAGAGAAAGCTGTATGTCTCTAATTGCTTTTCCCATATGAAGAGAAGATTAGTCTAAGAGACTTGCGAGAGAGAGGTTTATGCTTCTTATGGGTATTCATCTGCTGAGAACTTTCATGAGAGGAATTACTGGAGATGAATATTAACGTAGGTATAATTATACCAGGAGATATTTTATCTAAAGAATGGAGGTCACACATCCATGTCAATTTCCAGCAAAATCCAGAATGGTTTAATTGACATCTCTCGCCCCTCATGATACAAAATTGGAGCTGTATCCTACCTTTTTTATTTCAAAAGCATACAGTCTATGCTAAACAGGCTATCTATCCCAATGCACACCAGAGAACAAATACTGTGTGATAGCCAGGCATTTTAATACAGGCAGCTGCATTCAAAGGTACTTTGTATGTCACTTTATAATCTTGATAATTTGCCCCAAAACTGGTGAAGATAGCTTAGCTGCTCCACTCTTCCCAAGCTGTTCATGCCACCTCCCCCACCCACTACGTCTTTTCATTAGTCACCCTCACATAAATGAGACTACCTTTATGTCACTAAGTAGTTATTTGGTGCACAAGCCAATGCTTCCTCTCCCATACTATGGGACACAAACTCACCACACACACAAAACAGGGGAGAATGCTCAGTCCAGACTGGCTAAGAAGGTAAACCTAGGACCAAATTCTGGCTGCTCTTTGCACAGAGCCATATGCCGGAAAATCCTCAAGGAACAGGAGAGACCTTCCACCTCAGTTTTAACCCCCCTCCCAAAGCATTCCACAGCTGTCCCATGACAGGCGACCAGGGAAGGACACTCCTGGTTGGAGCCTCAGTATAAGAAAACGTGGTCCACACGTTCGTATGTATAGGCTACCCTGACCCAGCAATGGGGACTATGAACACACCTCAGTCAGATCATTCATGTTCCTAGCAGAGATAAGGTGGGTAAGGAAGGCTAATGGGCAGGGCTGGGTCGTTACTGGCCACAATTCAGTAGCACGTTGCTATTTCAAAGGTTGCATTTGCAATATCCATGCATTTCCATTATGGAGCTACTTACGCGATAGGCTGGAATTTGTCCCATGTTTTTGATGTAGATGTAATCTATATATCTTTCTGTACATCCTCTGATTATAGATGAACATTCAGCAAGCAGAAAAGGATGGCTACATTATTTCATGTTCATTTTCACAGCAAATAATTCACTCTGCTGTACTGTGAAAAGATACGCTATAATCCCAGCAAATTGCCTTGGAGGTGGAACGAAATGCTTTTTAAAAAATGTACTAAATGTATAATCGCCCTTGGTGCTCTTTCCGTCTCCCCAGCAGCCCTGCTTTCACTGACGTAGGTGTTAGAGATGTCACTCACACCAGCCTACAGAACATGTCGCGAGGCACCATTGTTTAAACACGCCCTCTTCCCCAAACAGCAATGCTGTAATGATGTCAGGCGCAGAAGGCATCAAGCACCTTCTGAAGGTGTCCAACTAATTTGAGAAGGAGTTTGATATATTGTGAATGTTGAACAGTGCATTCATGCTACCACACACGAATGCCATAGACATGCTTCTGAATAGCATAGTTAGGATGGGATGAGCAGCTTTTTCAGTGACATCACCTCCTAGCTTAGGGTGGCAGTACACCTCTACACTTAGGGGCTCACGTTATGTCTTGTGTTGGGAAGGCAGCAGGCGATATCATACATCGGTGTCCCAGATGCCATGGGCAGCTCGAGACTGATCCGTATCTGATTGTCATGTACCCCATCAGGATGAGTCTGCTTCATCCACTGGGAGCAACCCAAGACCATCAAGTAGAGGGTGGGGCAGCTCAAGCCAGGGAGGCAGGATACATTTATGTTGCCCAGCAAAGGTGCTTTGAGCTTTCTGCATTGGCTGTGAACACGTTATCCCATCCGGCTTCTCAGCACATGAGAACAGGGGGGTTATGAGTCTGCCCATCCACACTCCTTATTCTTAAGCAGCGCAGCTGTCCTCTTAGGCTACAGATGAGATGTATAAGGTGTGTGGTTACTGCTACCTGATCATTTCTGACCGGGGTGAACCTCCAAATTTATTACAGAGCACATCAAAAACTGGTTGTCTGACTATAGGTCTGATCATTTGGCCTCTTGCAGGTACAGCCCGGTGCACCGGACAGCCTCCTCGCTGCATCGGACAAGATATATACGCTAGCTCTGACATGGCTTCCTTGTAAGTAATTGGCTCCTTTATTTTAACGAACCTATGCACTTGCTGTCCTGCAGGATGAACGTCTCCTTCTGTCTGCTTAATGAGACCTCCGCGGTCTGAGCTTTCACCTTCGGGAAAGGCAATGGCATTTTGAGGCTCAGCAAAGAGCTCGCTGGACAAAGGCAAAGACGGCTGATAAAAGTCAAAGAGCAATCCAACTGAAACATTCAGATGTAATTGGAGGGGTCGAAAGGGGACAGAAATCAAGGCAATGTTAACATCCTATTCTGCAGCTATCACTGCTTCTCATTTGTTCCCCTGGCAGACACTGGGGAGTTACCATGGGAGTGACACAGCAGTGAAAGATTAGCCAGGCTGTCCACAGAACGCTGCCCTTTCCCAGGATTAAAGAGACAGTGAAGACAGAAGTCATATGTTCTTTTAAAAAAAATTATCATCCTTGTTTCAAGCACCTTCAGTGATTAAAATGGAGAGGCTGTTCTATTCAGGTTCTTAGCGAGGGCTCTTGATCACTGAATCAGAGTGATATTAACGCTAGGTTTCCCTATTTATGCTCTTTGTTTACTTTTCACTCACCTTGGCTATGAAGTCAGACAGGCCTGGTTCCTTTAGAGCATAAAATGCTTTCACAACAGTATAGTAGCTGAGTTATTTCCGACCACTTTTTGGCAGAAGCTGAGCTTTCCTTTTTCAAGGCTGAAGTCCAGGTCCTCTGCAAAGCTGGCCTCCCAAAGTAAGGTCTGATCCATGCAGCCAAGCAGCTGGGTCTGGCAGTGGCTTTTAACCTTGGGGGTGGCCAAATTAGGCTGGAGCATGGTTTAGTTCAGCCCATGTGGATGGGGTGAGGCACCAAATTGGGCACACTAGTGATAGCACCCGCTGGAAGGGGGGGAACAGGGTCAGGAAATGTTGTGAGGTTCACATCAGAGCCCTCGTCTAAGCAGCCACTTGGGGATGCAGGCTCTGCAGGGGGTGTAGCTGCCCCGCCCCACAGATCTTGGGGCTCCTCAGGGAACCCCCAGTCCTGCAGAGAGTTAACACCTCTGTGCTACTCCCCAGACTCTTCCTGAGTAGCTGGGCTCCCTGAAGAGCCCTCGTGTCAGAAGGCAGCTATCCTGTGATTACACAGTCCCCACCCACCAACTCTCACAGCTTTTCTCTGATCAGCCTTTAGTGTGGGGGCAGATGTATGCTAGGATGGGCCCAACCACAGAAAGGTTCCTACTGCTCCCACCGTTGTCAGAGTGCCAGGCAAGTCCATTTTTAAAAAGGAAGTCTAGCAAAGGGAGAGGCAGCGTTCTGTATTGGACAGTATGGCCCAGCACTTCTGGAAAGATAGGACCAATTAGCCCTTTGTTTAATGAAGCAAATCAAAGAGGACAAGTTCTACAATCCTGTGAGCAAGAGTCAGAATCAGATGAGGGTATTCTTTGAGAGTTCTCTTGCTTGTTCTCAGATGAACGATCATCCACGCTTAAAGTGTAATTATACTCTGATATTTTGGTAGAGTGCCTCTCTAGGGCCCCATCAGAATGCCTTGCAAACATTAAAGAATCTATGCTCAAAAGCACGGCAAGGCAGATAGGTGTGATTATCCCCATTTTACAACTGGGCAACTGATACATGGAGGTTAAGAGACTTGCCCAGGGTCACACAGTGAGACCGCACAGCCAGAGCTACATTTCAATCAGAAAGACATATCTCCTTTTATTTACACAGCTACATGTATCTCAAGTCTGGCCTGGCCTGGCCTGGCCTGGCCCTTAATAACATTGGCAACGGTATATATCCTCCCTTCCATGCCTATCTAGACAAATCACTTTCCATGTGTGGATCCACTTTCTGTGTGGATCTTTCTTCTGCCAGACTAACAGTGACAAGGCCTGGGGCCAACCTTCCCCAGTGGTGGCCATAGTCGCAAACTGAAATTTAAGATAACAACAGAGAGGTGAGGGACTGACACACCAATTTTACCTTCCCCTGTGGCAACCTGTGAGTTGAGGGCAGGTGCGCAGTGCCGGGTTGACAGTGGTGTGGAAAAGGGTGGCTTCTTGGCCAGGCAGAGCGAATGGTGGATGATAGCAGGGGGAAGCTGAGAGGCTCTGAAGAGAGACCATTCAGCCGCACAGGGTCAGAAGGACAGTGACCTCTACCTGGAGATCAGATGGTGGAGTGATAAGTGCAGGAAAGGGGCTTCTGGCAGAATCTGCAGGACTCTGTCATGAAGATAGGGGGGTATTACAAAAAGGGACCGTAACATTCTCTCCTCCTTCTTAACCAGGGTGATTTAGAAAGAAGCTGCATCCATCTCAGGTGTAGGTTTTGCACTCCCATTACAATAGGGCGATTTGGTCCTGGGAAGCTCTTGTGACGTGTCAGGGCACAAGCCTGGTCAAACACGCAGTCAGAGCACAGGTTTCCCCAGACCGCGCCATTTCACCTGCTGGTTTGCAAGAGGAACAGCCTTTTGGGATTCTCAGCCAGCGCCTGCCTCAGTCTGTGCATTCTCCACCTCCCTCACCCCAGGCCAACTGATAGGGCTCTGTGGGCCTCTGGAGATCAAGTCTGTGCACCATCATTTGAGAACCTCTGCCCTACAGCTTTAGCATCCTTCTAGACACCAATAAAAGAGTGCGAGAACAGGCTTCATTCTCCATGAAAACAGCCCACTTTCTTTGCTCACCTTGAACGGCTTGCACCACTCCCACGCTCCAGCTATATTCACTGCATGAACTCTGAGGAGATACTCCACATTGGGTGTTAGGTTCCGCAGTTCCACAGAGTTGCTCGCTATTTGGAAGAACCATGGGCTGAGCTTCTCAATGGCCATATCTGTACTGTTGGTGTCTACTTCCTGCACGACCAGCTGGTAAAAACTCACCTGCTGCCTGTTGAATGGGGCCATCCAGCAGAGCCCACATGAGCTTTCTTAGACCTGTGGATCTGCAGAAATCATCTGCAGACTAGAGAATGGGGAGAGGTTGTTATCTTTAGAGCAAACACCAGAAATGGCCATGCTGACACACACAAGCAGCCTGCTGTTCTGTGACCACAAATGCCCCTAGCCACCACTGTTATCTAGAGCCATATCCTCAAAGATATTTAATGCCTAATTCCCCTTGATTTCAATGGGAGTTGGGTGCCTAAATACTTTGAGGATCTTGGCCCTAGTGACTAATGAATTGCACTTTCAGGTAGGAGGTTGAGGGTACATACTTTACATACGCTGCAGTGTGTGTACTAGCATTTGTAAGTAAGTGAACTGTGTGCATATCTTGTGTACATCATTTGTCAGTATATGAGCCCAATTCTTTTGTCACTCACACCTGTGTAAAATCAGGAGTAACACCATTGAAATCAATGGCTTTATACCAGTGTACAACCAACCGACGTCAGGAGAGAATCAGGCTCTTTGTGTTTATCATTATTCATTACAGTTGGTTGAATTTCTTTGCTCAAAGTTTTCTGCATTAAAATGGATTTCAATGAAAATTGAAAATTTTATGGAAAATTTCATTTTATTTGTTCCCCCCCTTTCTTTTTTTAATATACACTTTTCCTCCACCCACCAGAAAAGAGGGAGAAAAGTAAAGAAAAGTTGGGGGGGGAAGGGAGCGGAGGGGAACACTTTTTATTAAAAACTTTTTCCAGTGGAAGAGTAGAAAAAAGTGTGTTAAAAAGCAGGAGGAAATGTTACATTCACTTGTTCTTAAAAATACACGTTTTCTAGTTGGAAGGAAAGGTCAGAAAGAGCTGGGAAGGAAATGGGTTGTATTGATAGGACTGAGTACAGGTGGGAATAGAGTCAAACAGTGAATGAGGTTGTGGGTAGGGCAGGCTGGAAAACAAGAATTCCACTTTGCAAGGGCTTTTGAATTTTTTTTTTGGGGGGGAGAAAGATAGAAAGAGAGACCTCTGCCTCATTATAGCCAATAGCCCAGTGGTTAGGGCATTCATCTGGGATGTGGGAGACCTGGGGTCAGGTCCCTGTTCCATCTGATTCAGAGCAGGGACTTGAACCTGGTTCTCCCACATCCCAGGCATGTGCCCCTGCAGCCCAACTACTCATGCTGGGAATGAGGAGCCCCTGGCCTGCTTCGCGGGACAGTGCCTATAGTGAGTGTGAAGGACTGGAAAATGAAGTTAAACAGTCAAGATGGGGCAAGGAAAGGGAATGAGGCCCTCTTGGACTTGAAACTTTTGATGGAGCAAGTGGCAATTTTAATTTCCTCTCCTACTGCCCAGTTCACTAGCGGCATGATGATGGATGGGTGGCTTTGCTGTAGCTCTGTGTTGGAGATCTAGAAAATCCAGGCGGTGGGAGACTGCAGTAGTCCATTCACTCCCCATGCCAATGGATTCAGGGTGTGTCATGGAGGAATATACTGGCCTGAGACAAGGAGGTGGGGAGGGGGTGGGATGTTCTACTCGTGCCACCTGGCAAGCCGTCCTACAGAGTAGCCACTTTTGGGGACCAACACAGCCAAGAAAAGCCATGTTCCACTGCCAGGGAAGTGCATTCCTCAGACAATGATACATTGATTACTGACAGATCAATTCTACCTCATTGATTATAACTCACAAATCAGGAGGTTTGCTTTTAACATGAGATGCATCCTTGTACCATGGCAAAGGTCACCCTGTTATTACAGTAAAAATTAAAGTAAACAAGTCTGAGCTGCTTCCAGTTACTCTCTACTGAAATGAGCCAGCCATTTGTCCATTGACCTTCAGATGATCTCACCTCCTGCCATATTTAAAAGAGCTGGTTAAATACAGCACAATATTATAATAAAGACAATAAATATTAAAATAAGTTATCAGTCAAATAAATATACCACTTGGTTAGCGTTTGACCAGCTCTCACAGTGAATCACACCACTGGTCCACCAAGTTCAGAGACCCGCCTTC